GCGCAGAGATAAGCGCTTGGGTATAAATTGACTGCGTGCTGTCTTCAGAGGCATCAGTCGAGTCTTCACCAACAACTCAAAATGAAGTGTGAGTTTCGACATTACTCCCGAAAGTGTCCTTACTCCTAACATCTTTAACTCTCTTTCTCTCTCTCCTCTGCAGACGCTATTTTGGTGGCAGCGCTCTTTGTCGCTGGTGCCTTGGCAGCCCCAGTTGAGCATGAGCTCCCCAGAAGCCTGGACCCTCGCTTCGTCTCCCACGGTCGGCCCGGTTGCCGCACTAACGAGGAGATGGCCGTCCGCCTGTACAGGCACAACTGGGACCCACGAAGCTGGTGGCAGTGCAACCAGCAGAACGTTCCCGGAGTCATGATGACCTGCCCACAGAACATGCTCTTCGACGAGCGCTCACGCACCTGCATTCCTTCTCACCTGTGGATCTGGACCGAGCCCCGCAACCCACCCACCTTGGCTGAATGGGACGGCTCTCCTCCATCAGGAGGCATCTGCCCTCAGGACAACCCCTCCTGCCCCCCTTGCCCAACTCCCTGCCCACCGTGCCCACCAGAGGATCCACCAACCACAACCACTACTCCATGCCCGCCATGCCCAACAACAACCACTACGCCTTGCCCTCCATGCCCCCCGGAAGATCCCCCGACCACAACTACCACGCCCTGCCCACCTTGTCCAACAACCACTACGACTCCCTGCCCGCCATGCCCACCAGAGGATCCGCCAACGACCACCACAACTCCATGCCCGCCTTGCCCAACAACCACCACCACACCCTGCCCTCCTTGCCCGCCAGAGGATCCACCAACGACCACCATCTGCCCGCCCTGCCCCAACGAGATGATCTGTCTGGCTGAGCACATGGGAACACTGTGGCCCGGCTCGCGACAGGACAGCTTCCTCGTCTGTCACACCGTCAACCACGCAGCTCTGGAGATGTTCTGTGATCCTGGACAGATCTTCCAGTTCAGCCAGCAAAGGTGTATGTAAGTTCGACCAAAGAACAAAGACGACAACGGACGAGAGCATATAGGCTCGCTATGACAATGGAAACAGCATTATAGTAGTACTCCCCAGTAGATATCTCCCTTAGTGATTGTAGATCGACAGAATTGTAGTGAATTAGTAGAAATACATCCGTGTTTGCATCCCCAACGAATGATTTTTAATAATAGATTCAGGAGGAGATCCAGTATGCTCAGTCGATCTGGGAGATAGCAAGTGACCGGCAAAGGATCAGGAGTCCTCAGAAAGTTGGACAACAGAACGGTGCTCAGAAAGTTGGAGAAAGCAGAAATCCGGCCAGATGATCATCTTCTTGTAGGCGATTGTGGCTCAGTGGTCAACGCGTTTGACTCTCAACGCTATACAGTCGTGTGTTCGAATCTCACCGACGGCGAATCTTCGAATTCAGCAAATTAGAGAAGCCCAAGCGATTACTGTTGAATGTTTCAGTTGAAACACACGCTTCACTCAGATCGTCTTTCGTAATCTGTTCTTTTATATAAAGGTAGACTTTAGAACCACTTATGGTTGGTCGGCAAACTAACAATCCGCCTGAGAAGACTATATCCCTCAATAGGGGGATAAAACCAACAAAATAACCATTAAAGCGAAGAACAGGAGACAAAGGTGAGAAGAGAACTTGAAATGATTATGAAATAGTATTTTATTCATGTTTTTCACTGTTTCCAACATTTTCGAATAACAACTTCATCCCTTGATCTTTGAGTACATAATCACAATTTTCATGCACAAGTTTATCTAATATGCTCAATAGAGTAAAAATAAACCATACATTTAAAACCCATTCTTGTCTCGTGCAATATTCACCCTGTTTCATCATTTCACACTATGTTTATCGACTTCTATCCCATTGACAATAGCGAATGTGTATTGTCGTATGTACAGAGAATATAACATTGAGTTCGGATGGAAGTACATCACATCCATAATCCATAGTCTTTTGTTGTGTACTTTTCACGACAGATGAGCAAATTGTTTCCACACGTTTCCTCCTATTTTGCTGATAAAGCGCATAGAGACTGAAAAGTGTGAATCGAGAGGTGTCTCTCAATAGTGCACATTTTCAATACAAATCCCTGGAAATACTTTCACCCAGAAACATGTGACATTGTCTTTTCCTCGAGTATCGCCAATTAATCACAATGAAGATGAATGAGGGTGTTTATGGATCTCTCGGGACATTGTCATACTTCATCCGCAAATCATTTTCACCACCCTCACGAAGGAGATTTTTGGGATTCTCTGACAAAAACTATATGTTGTGTATCTGGTTACATCTTTATTGGTGATTCTGTTCGAATAAATCGACCACACGCACACAAGTTGAAAACTTTCCATCTCTCATGCTTCGATGCCCAAGACAATTCTGGGCCAATTGTGGAGGGGAATCAAATAAATTATCCCTAAAATATCTGCACACGAGCGAAATAGGGATAAATTGTTGGTACTGGAGAATTTATCGCACTCTCAATATATTGACATATTACCCCAAAATCCAATTTTGTGTCTTTCGCGCAACACTGTTTTGTTTTCAATAACATCCATCCATTTAATTTGCTTGTGGTTGTGAAGATTTACAAATTAAGATTGTGGAAAACAGATAGCAACATTCCATATACACATATAAAAATTTATTGCCCTTCAACTGCGCGGGGTGGAATTCAGGGATATGTTTGGAGGTTGGTGGACAACATTCAGAGAGTGAGAAGGAGATGTGCTTTTGCGTAAAGAATTATGTGTACTCCCAGTGTTACAGTATCAAGAAGATGTTTCTTCTCCGGCGCCCCCTTTCCAATGTCTTCTTGTGAGGATCTACCCAAGTTTGGCAAGGCGAAAGAAAAAGAAAAATTGATTACGGAAACTCTGTCCTACATTGAAAAGACCTTTTCTTCTCCTCCGCAACGCCCGTTACACAACTCCCAATTCAGACATGGCAACTGGCTGTAATGAAAAGAAGTGACATGTGCAGATAAGACAGATCAAGGACGTCTTATCCAATATACAACTTCACATGTCTCTTAACTTTTTTTAAAAAGCTGTCCATGTGGCTTCAATTGACTGCGGAGAAGAGCGTGTAATTCATTTGAATACTGTGTGGCAGGGATGATTAAATCGATTACACCCGCATCAAATGAATTGCCACACTCACTCCTTATCATCTTCTCATCTTCTCTGCCTCTGCCTTCTTCGTTGTGGACAGACAAATTATCCGTCAGATAACCCTTCTCTGCTCGTCCTTTTGCTCATTTTCCACCCCAGTGCCATTGGAGCCGGGGGGAAAACTTAAAAATTCCCAAAGGGGTGGAGGAACGAAAGGCGATACGATGAAATTGGAAGAGGTCCATTAAAAGTGTCTTTCATGACTGAAACCCAATGCTTACACTCCGAAAATTGCATATCATAATCAAGATAACAACATGTTAGCTCTGGTTTGGATCAGATTTTCTTTAGCACAAATTTATCGGTCGTTGCAACTTTATTTTCATAACATTTTAAATAAGCTGTCAAAAATGTGAATTCGTAAGAATGAGTTGCAAGATTGCAATTCATAACAGTTACGAAAATGAGGAATTTATTTTAAAATTCACAATAATGAAATTGACAATAATAATGTTTTTAGGTTAATTTGCACAAATTTCATGGATTTATCTGACCATTTGAGCACATTTCAATGCACTAGATTGAGGTTATGTCCTTCGACGCTTTCCGAGGAAACTGATTGGCTTTCCTAAGCATTTGCAAGTATGAAAAACTACATTTTAATTCATTGACAGCTGAAATTCGTATCCAATAAACTGTCAACTTTGCCTTGCAACGCCTTTTCGTTCGTATTTCATTTGTACCTTACACCAGCGCCGCCAGGTGGTCGCCAATATAAGCTGTGAAAATTGGTAAGTTGCAAACCAAATTCGTAGTTTAAACAAACTGAAATCCTTAATGTTGCAATGATTCCTTATAGAATATTCAACTTTTCAAAAGAATTATAAGTTATTAACGATTGAAAAGCCCCTCCGAAACCCTCCAAAATGTGTATTTACCACCCGTGGTGAAGACATTTCGCCATGGTGCACATTAAAAATGCACGCGACGAATCATATAAAGAGGGGGAAAAGGCTCGGAAAAGCGAGAGTGATAGTGGAAATTCATGTTCACACTCCATCACTTCCGTAGGTCATTTGGCAGTCGGATATGCAGTGGCATTTCATGAACTTGTCCGTAACTCTATTATTGAATTTACCCTTCCTTATGTATGGAATATTTGTCCAGTGTCTGTCGGGGAACCCCCACAATTTCATGCCTATTTCCCAGTGAATATGTTCCGGGGACAAGGGGTGGAAATACACGAATTGATGGGAACAAAGCCAGGTGAAAATTCACTGACAAATGGGAAAATTTCTCTATGCATGCAAAAGGGCTTCGAGAAGAATTTCTCATAGTCATTTTCACTTCGTCTTAGCACTTCATAAAATGCCATCCCCAAGCCAGCCAAACATTACGCAGCAATGTTTCACCGTTGATCCATGGCAACTCTCCGTGAAATTGATCTAAAGGTCAAATTCAAGGATGATTTAACAGAATTTTACCAACAAACAGGGACTTTAGTTTGCCCTTCACTCTCATAAGTATCATCTGAAAATGTGAGAAATATACCCCGAAAAAAAAGAGAGAGAGAAAACTGAATAAGTAATGAGAACAGAGTGCTTCTCATTCACATCTTCTCTCTCTTCACCCCCGTGAAGATATTATACTTCTCTCGAGAATGGATTGAGTCTCATTCATCTGGATTACAGAAGATATTCACACTGTTTCACTCTTCTTGATCTCCCACTGAGTTACTCACCTAAAAAGAGAAGAAGAAAATGGCAAAGTTAGTCTCTCTCTCTCACTTGCTAATGATGAATAATATTAAATTCAAGCCTAAAAGTTTCAACAAAAAGTCAATTTAACATTAACTTCTCCACCTTTTTTTTCTTCGCGGGCTCGCGAGATAAAAATCAGGAAGCATTGCAACTGACAGCACATTATAAATTTCATCATGTCAACTTTTGGCGAAAAAGTAATTAAATCATTTTATGCTAAAGGGTTTACTGCCAATTAATGGGGAATTAGGGACTGTATAATGGCAAAATTTAATGTATCATGTAATATTATTTTCACCCGCGCGACCCAAAATCAAAAATCCATTCTATATAACATTTATAGCATCAGAAAATCCTATTGAATTTGTAATGTAAAGTAAATAAGATTAATTGTGGTGAGAAAAATGACGGGGTTGAAAACTTCAGTAATTAGCCTTCGTCCCTTTTCATCGAATCCCTCCTCCCCCGATTCATGAGGACCCGGAATGGCAATATGTAAATGAAAGACAATTAAATTTTCAATGGTGAAGCGTCAGAATATTCGTCAAATTGAACAAAGAGAGCAACAGAGCTACATTTTCCATTGTACAGTGGCGTGAATAAAGTATTTTCCATTGAATTCAATTATTTTCCTTTTCATGATCTTCAACGTATATTAAAAAAAAATGCGGTAATTGTTCAATTAAAGTCAGTTTGGTCAGTAAAAAATGCAGTTCGAGCAGTAAAAAATGAAGTTTAGTCAGTTAAGAATCAATTTGATTGGTAAAATATTAGTTTGATCAGTAAAAACTTTGTTTGGTCAGTAAAAATTGTATTTTACAGTTCGGTCAGTAAAAAGGCTACTTTTGTTTCCTAATTCCTTCAACCCTTAATCGCAAGTTTGCAGATATTAGTATAAAGTATTCACATTGTAATTTTCTATTCGATTTAAAGAGGAAAAACTGGAAGAAGTTTCACACTATCAGTTTTTCCTTATGCTGTGACATGCCTGGCGGACAAGTCATCGACTTTATCGACTGTCGAGGGATGACATCAAGTGGAAGACTCAATATATCATCCCTCGGCGGGGAGAATTTCACTTATTTGAGGTACAAATGTAGACAGGAAGAGCGATGCCGGAAGCAATCATCGTTTCTTTGCCACTGAATGCGGAGAGAAATGCAAAGTGCGTCAATGGAAAGACTTTTCCATGTCTGCCTGGAATCCGTCCCTATCTTCACTCTCTCTCTCTGCCTCTCGAGGGGGTGACATGATATAGGGCGGTCTGGTTGGGTGCGGAATTTGTCAAAATTTAAAGGACGACAGGGACAATTCGCAACTGTGGAAAATTGTCATTGGAGATGTTGTCACATATTGAGTTGGGTTTTCACTTTTAATCATAAAATCACCAAATCATCCTTCATTTCGACACCCACCCAAGCGCCAGGCGGTCGGAAATTAATGGGAATGAAGTTAGAGGTCTCGTCCGTCTCCTGTTTTCCGGCGAGGGTGAAAACTCAACACCCTCACGCGCCTGTGAATTGCAAGTCGTACATCATTCAGGATGAATTTTTGCGTAATCAGTGGATTACTAACTCGCAGCCGTTTGGCAATTGAATTTACCACCCTCAGGGCCATCAGGTGTGTATGTGGAGTGCGAATGAGTCGAGGGTTGACGCTAAGAAATGCACACACGCGTAGAATTTGGCAGGGAAATTGAGGGATGCCCCTGTGTTCATGCGATGTAAATTGTATTCGATTTCAATCTGACACCCTCGCAAAAGCATCCCTGAATCGACTCTTCAGGGGTGTGTAATAAATTTGTTTGGAATTTGCATAAAATTGTAACTTATCTTCATCAATCAATGATTACTGAATCAACTCTGTTCACCCAAAAATCGAACGCCTCTGGAAACAGATTAAGCATCACAATATGCAAATTTCCACTCAAATGAGTTTTACAAACATTCGTGGGCGGAGAAAATTCGGTGAACTCATTCCGAGACGGAAAAGTGTGTCTTGTTTTGTTTTTGGTAAATTGTCAGAACGCACATTCCTTTCAGTGTGAACTGCTGGAACATTTAAGCGCTCAATTAATGTCGCGATGTCAGAAACCTTTTGCTCCTCACTGTAGCGTGGCAAAAACGCAGCAAAGCAATCACATGACAAGAGCGCGCCTTCATTCAGAGACTACAAAGAAATGTGCAAAAGTGAGCATTTGATGGGGTGAAAGTCTCCCCATCAAGATTTTCCCTTTAGCGCACACAGTAATATTATTAAAAGGAAATGTTCACAAGTTAAGAGATCTTCAGCAGAGAGAGCGCGCGTGGAAAAGCCAGAAAAGTTATATATACATATTTTCCTCCCCCGCGCGCATTTATTGCGCCACACAGTCCATGTCGTAAAAGTCGTTGGTTGTTCATTTGAGGGGCAATTTATAACATAAAATGTTGATCCTTATGCTAATTAGTGTGTACATCGAAGAAATTCACATTCAGACACGTTCAGCCTTTTGAGACGTCACCACTCGAGACGACCTCCCCTTGAGTTACGACCCTCGGCACTGTCGCTGGCGAGCGGGGGAGGATGGCGTCATTTGTGGCGACGTCTCGACGCCCAAACACACCTCCATCGCCGGAAAACACTCCCTCAACGGCGGCAGTCCTTTCTCATCCATTCTGTCAACTATTTTGCCACACACCGCGGAAAAAAGGCGCACCATTTTCCACGCAACGAATAATAATTAAAGTGGAAGCACACGGCAAAGGAAAATTATACGTACACCCACTCATGGGAATTAAATTGAAATCCACAGTGCCAAAGACACTGTGCAGAAAGAGTCCTCTTGAATTTCTTTGCCAACACTCACGACACTCTCACAGACGAGAACGTCCGGAGAGAGAGAGAGTGGAAACGTGACAACACGGAATTGCAAAATGAAGTGATTCTAACGAATTTTCATCTCGTTGTGGAGATAATTAAGAAACTTTCTAAAGTGTCTCTCCGTGTCTTTCAGCATTTTATATATTAACTCATACAAATTATTGTCCTGAACCGCGCGCTATCATAAGTTTCTGCATGAAAGCAGTAAGGAAGTTCAAGTATTTTGTGGGTCAACATCAAGGGGAGAGAATGAAGAATTGTTCTTTTACATTATTTTCTCCCTATTGAAAAATTACATGTCTTTTAAGGGGTCGTTGCAACATTATAAATTTCGTATTTCTGTTCGTAAAAAATATCAATTTGGTGTTGCAATTTTACATTTTCGATAGTCGATAGTTTGAAGAACGAATGAAATGCGAACGAGAAGGCGTTCCAATATGAAATTGGGAGTTTATTTAATACGAATTTAAGCTGTCAAACGCTTGAAATTTGGTGTGTTTCCGTTGAGATTCTTAAAGGATTCTATTGATCAGAATGACCGGAACGAATTAGATTCCTTGACAAACATTTCTTTCAATTTCCTTGGTTTTCACGCGTTTTCATGCGCCAATGCTTGAGACATTGAAATATGAATTAACAACTATGACATCTTATTTAAAATGTTATGAAAGTAATGTAGCAACGACTCCTTAAGTATGATTTTCAACAGAGAAATTTCAATCCCCGAAGCGCACTATTTCATCAATGTTAATTGAAAAGTGAAACGCTTTCTTCGAAGTTTCTTACAAAATGTAACGTTAAATCAAATTTTCGTTGCAAAACTTCCTTCAAAATGTCACGCAAATTCATCATCTGACAAGAGATTGCATCAATGAACTTGTTGTTCTAGTAAAACAACAAGACTTCTCTAATCTTATTACGCTTCAGAGTTTCTTCTCTCAAAAACACGAAAACTTTTCACCGCATGTCGCAAGAGAACACAGCAAAAATTGATAGAAATTAACAATCAGCGCAACTTTTCCCACCGTTGCCGTTGCTTTGCAAAGAAAAGCGAAAAAGAATTGGCAATTTTTGAATTGTCTTCCTCATTGTTCTGCCATCTTTTCACCCTGGGCTTCCTCCTCTCTCAAAATTTGTGGGGCTTCTGCGCTATGCTATATAAGGAAAATTCGATTTACATATTTATGGAGGAGAAATATGTGTCTCAGCACCGCTTTTCTTTTTGGCACACTGCCCTGGCTCGCGCACATCACACTTCGCGGCCCATTGTCAGTGTGACGCTCAGGCCGATGCACATTGCAAAGAAAATTGGCGCCACATTCGTAAAGTGTCAGTGGGGAAAAATTGAAAAACGGGAAATGAACACAAATTGCGAGAAGTCTGGAGGACGCATGTTAATTCTAATCTATACCAATTTACACGCATCAACGCCACATTTCACACACAATTTGCCGTATGTTCATCGACACCCACGAAGTGAGACGTGAAACGCGAATAAATTCAAATTCGCTTGATGTGTACAATTCATATGCATAAAAGATATGGTCAGGACTTTGGATTTCTCGTGTGGGTCTCTCTCTCGTCAGATTGCCTATCAACGTCTCACTGACCTTCATAAGAAGACATTTTTATAGTTGGACACTCTCGATTATGTGTGTTGCGATTACATAAAAACACTTCTCTCTCTCGCGCGCTGATGAAGCGATGGAGTGCAATTCTGTGTGGGTTTGGAATTCAACGTCGCAGTGAAAGTGTCTTAACGACATTTCCGCCAGAAGAAAAAAAAGCAAGAGCAGAATTTCTGTGTGGAGAGATGATCGCAATCTTTGCGTGGCTTCCACTGATTGTTGACAAGTCATATAAAATTTTATACTTCATGTCCCTATCGCAGTGGCATTAAAATGACATGGCGGAGAAGGGGCGACTTTTGTGCCTTCTGTGCAGCACAATAGCGGGCATTTAAAAGCCACCCATTCTCATCCTCTGACAAAAAAGCTTGAATGCTCCTCTCCAAGTCGATGTAATGTAAACATTTACTTTCACCAAAGCGGAGAAAATGATTTTTAACACCGCCAAAGACTTTTTTCTTCAAGGCAACACGCAACATTTAATTGAAGGTCGCATGCAACTTATCCTAACTCGCTTCGCTTCCCCTCTTTTTTCCAAAAAGGGATACGGCACGTGCGGTAAATAGAATCATTCATTATTGAGCATCACGAGTTTTCACCCAAGGTGGAAAATTAAATTTA